ACAGAAAGTGAAAGTAAAAAAATCTGACGGAGCTTAACGCTGCATTAATGGCGCATATTCTCTCCCAGTCATTGGATTGTAAATTACATATTTTTAGTAAAAGTCAATGTTGTTAAAAATTATTTATATAAAACCAGATCAAAAAACGGGGCATTTATGCCTATAAGCGCCAGCAGGTCAAATTTACCCACCTATATAATGCATGTATTTTTGCGCAGTAGACTTTTTGCTTTAAATGAATGGTTATTGTCATGGTGTAAAGAACAGAAACTGCTCTTTGTTAATAACTGGAATCTTTTCTGGGAGTGTCCTAAGCTTTTTCGCGCTGATGACCTGCACCCCAGCAGAGTCGGAGCGGAACTACTGTCGGACAACATCTCCAGGACGCTACGCACCATATGACTAGTAAGTCAAATCTCAAATAACTGCCCTGATGACTTGTGTTCTACCCGCTTAAATGACAGAAGTACTTGTGCTGTCTAATCTATAAAGACTGTCTGTTCCCCGAATAGTGAGGTCAAAATATAAATTTAATGCAGGATCTAGAAAAAATCTGATCATGATTAAACCAGAAAAATGTAAAATAAATTAACAAAAACAATTTTTAAAGTTTGGGCTCCTAAACATTAGATCACTCTCACCCAAAGCAATGTAACGAATCATGGGAAATATGAATAATTAATCATAACTAGTTATAATTAATTATGAATATTTTAGATCCACTGTAGATATTTAGCTGACCTCTCAGGGTCAACTGTCTGTCAATTCTAAGAACGTTAATTTCCTGGTTAAGGGAAATAACTTCCTTACTGTACAATTCTACAAAAGCTTGTAGCATAAATCTGCATGATTAAGTGACTCCAGTTATGAGCAAACAATGAACCACGTCAAGTGTGATACAAGTAAGGTTTTATTAACTACATAAACACTTAAACTAGTCTAACATACTACATAAACACATAAACTGGTCTAATACACACAAAAACACATATGCAATCTTAAGGTTTCCAGTTGATCTTTGCTGAATTTTGGTCGATGAAAAGAACCAGTTTGCGTCAGAGTAACTTGATGAATAGAAAAGACAAGGCCGAAGCCTGGCACGAGCTTAGGGGTTTCCGGGAGCGTTTTTCTCACCTCCTCTCAGAATTCCAAATATTATTAGAAAATACGGGATTAGTTTCCACTGTTATGCCGATGATACTCAACTATATATTTCAACAAGAACAGATGAAACTTCTAAATTATCTAAGCTAACAGAATGTGATAAAAATGTAAAAGATTGGATGACCAATAATTTTCTCCTATTAAATTCGGATAAGACAGAGATATTACTTATTGAACCAA